TTTCTCTTTAATATATCTTTATTGATTCAGAGAGCAGAAGGGAAAGGGGGAGAGAGAGAAACATCAATGATGAGAGTCATTGATCTGCTGCCTCCTGCACACCCCCTACTGGGGATCTAGCCAGAAACCCAGGCATGTGCCCTGATCAGGAATCGAACTGTGATCTCCTGGATCCTAGGTCAGTGCTCAACTGCTGAGCCACACCAGCCAGGCTCAGTTGCTTTCTTTAATCACTCCTCTCTCTACAACATTTACCACTCCTTTCACTCTACAAATGTTGAACACAACGTTTCAATTAAAAATTACATTTTTAATTGAAATTACTTTTGAAGTTTCAAAATAATGTGATTTTTATTTTAAAAAATAATAATTTTTGTTCTATGTTTATAGAACAAAATCATATTTTGTTCAACTACAATTAAATTCTTTGTTAGGTAAACAGTCTTGGTGTAGTCTATTCCTGCAGGAGCTGGAAAAAGAGATCTTTTAAAACCACAGCAATTATATTTCAGGCCCAAGAAAACTATCAGGCAAAAACATCATTTTAAATGAGAGTTTAAATACTCTTTTCTCATTGGAGTGGGAAACAGATTTGGTAAGGAACATCAGCTTATATCCCGTGTAGCTCCTCTTATGGCCCTTACATAGAATAAGCATTCAATTAGTATTTCCTGAGTGAATGAGAAAATGTTCCCTTTTATGGTGGTTTTATTTTGGGCTAAATAGTGTCAATATCAAGAATAACTGAAACACATGTATCCACATGTAAATATTATAAAGAGTACTCCAAAGAAAAATCACATATTTTATTATCATCCATTTTGCATCATTCAAACCAGAATTCACTTCCATTTTTACTGCAAATGATGTATAAAATTAGCCCCCTTACTTTTTACCACTTTTGAGACTTTACCCCATCATCTGTCACAAGACTTTTCATGCAAATGAACTTTGTTCTCTCAAATGAATTATAAGCTCTGAGAGGGTGGGGAGATTTCTTTTGTATCACCTGCTCTGCACACAGTAAATGCTTAGTAAATGTTTGCTGACTTTACTGAATGTTGTGACTGTATTAAGTTCACTAGGGCTACCGTGACAAAGTACCACAAACTGGATGCTTAAACCACAAAAATGTATTGTCTCGTGGTTTTGGAGGCTAGATCTGAAATGGAGGTGGTGGCAGGATTGGTTCCTCCTGAGGGCTCTGAGGGAAGGATGGCTGGCTTCACCGTGTGTCTCTCCACACTGTCTGCCCTTGTACATGTCTGTCTCTGTGCCCCTTTTTATAAGGACACCAATCATATTGGATTAAGGCCCACCCTAATAACTTCATCTTAATTAATTACACCTGTAATGACCTTATTTCCATATAAGGTCAAATCCTAAGGTACCTGGGGTTCAGACTTCAACATATGAATTTGGGGGCCGGGACACAATTCAGCCCAGAATAATGACCTTACACAGAATCATAAAATATTCGTAGTTATAAGAGGCCTTAAACATCTTTTACTTTGCTTATCTGATACCTGAATTCTCTCTTATTCCAAGCCAAGAAGAACATTTAGGATTTTCATATTTTTGGAAACAGGATTTTAGGGTTGCTTTGTTTTTTAACGTGTCTGTGTGTGCTTTTCAGAATGGTTCCCACTGCTGAAACCTCAGAGCCTTCAGAATGTCTGGAACAGGTAAGCACCACCTTGGAAAGCCTGTCTCTCAGCGGGGTTTGCAGGGATACTTCCCTGGACCTCAGTCCACTGAGCACCTCCCTCTGTGGCCCCCATGCCCAGGAAGATGCCTCTGGGAGAGCCAACCACCTGGGAGCCTGGTGGTTTTTCTCCATGAACCATTTTACTTTCACCACATTTAGTCGTTAAAATGGTTCTGTGCCCCTCCGCCATGCCCGAGGCCCTGAGAACGAGGGAGTGTTGGCCCGCAAGAAAACCCCAGTGGGTTTATTATTCTCTGACACAGAGAAACCAATAGCATCATTGAGTGGCTATTGGAGGGGGGCAGCTTGATTCATGGAGGTCATGCTTTCCCAGGCCCTCTCTACGCAGTCCCGGCTCAGACCAGGGCAGACTTTTATTACCAGCTTTCAACAAATCCCTAGTTTCTTTTGCAAAGTAAAACAGATAATAGAGACATTCCCGGAATAGTTAGCTAACTAAGCCGTGCCAGGCAACCTCAGGGCTAAGAAGAACTCAGTGTTTTCGGACAATGACCAATTACAATAACCAGTATTATTTGATCTGAGAGTAATTAGCCGAGGCTCTGTGCTTTTTGCCTCAGTGAAGAGGCAAAAAGGGCAGTGAGGAAACATCAGAGGCAGGGGAAACGAGCTCAGATGTCAAAGAAACACACTCTCGCAGGTGGGGAGACGGGGAAGAGGTCCCAGAAGAACACTCGAATGTTGTTCTTCCCTGAAACTGGGGTAGAGTTTAACCCAACGGAATTTCGTTTGATTTCTCCAGACCTAGAGTTTCATGTGCTTCAGAGAGCCTCGTGTGGAGTGACTGTCAGAGCGCAAACGGTAGACTAGTGCGCTATAGAACTGTGGATTACCAAAGCATCTCTTATGGGGAGGGACGGGCCCCGCCAGGAAGTCCCCACACTCCACACTTATTTCAAACGCACCGGACCACCCGAAAGACCCTGTTGTTTTGGCTCCAGGGAACTGCCGTTTGTCATTTCTTTCAAAATGTGCAAACTTTCTCTTGCCGGCACAGTCCGGCCCCTAACCCCTTGCTAGACATATTTGTATTTTAGCACTGCCTGTGGCTTTCTTCCATTTCACTACTGGCTTACCATTTAACTCCAAACCTGCAAACCACCTTAATGCCCTGTGCTGCTGCTGTTGGCACTGTCGAGTGACAGAAGGAAGTGCCACCAGGCTCCTGCTATCGTCCCACCAGCCCTTCCTTCTAGGTCTGAGCAGGACTTGAATTAGCAGAATATTCCTCTGACTTTTCTGACCACATGCAACACCCAGCACCTCTGCGCATGGCCTGGCTCCCAGCAACACCTTTGTCTTAGCTAAGACTTCTGGCTTCTCTTCGCTCAGATCCTCAGTGCCAAGGAGCAATGTCTAGAACTGTGCAGTCTAGTACAATAGCCACTAGCCACATGTAGCTATTTAAATGTAAACTAAATAAAATTAAGATTCAGTTGCTCAGTTGCACTAACCACATTTCAAGGGCTCAGTAGCCACGTGTGAGTAGTGGCTACCGTATTGGACGGAACAGAAATAAAACATTTTTATCATTATGGAAAGTTCTATCGGACAGCACGGGCCTAGATTATCACACAAGACAATTATTGGCTTTGGCAAGGTATGTGGCATTGAAACAGGACTAATGTTAGGTGGGGTGTCTGCTATGTGCCTAGCAGGGTGCTGTCTATGTTATTTCATTTATTCCTTACAAATCTCATTCCCATTTCAAAGAGGAAGAAACTGAGGCTCAAAGAAGTTAAGTAACTTGGCCAGGGCTGTCAAGCTAAGTGAGTGATAGAGCCAGGATCATCTAGGGCACAAGTCTCTGTGACCTGTCAGTTGAATCAGGTCGTAAGTGTAACGAGTAGGTGTCACTGGCTTTTCTACAAGATTTTAGAGAGGTGCATCAGATCTGTGCAGGGCTTCGAACGCCCTCCAGGGCCTCGCCTGGGGTGTGACGGTGACCCCATCAACGTGGGCCTAGCAAGTGTGCACTTACTTGTTAGGCTGATTGGAAAGTTATAGCTTCTTTGATGTTATTTCTTCCTAGTGTTAGATACATTTCTTATTGCGGGTGTCCTAAATTGATAGCATTAAAAAGTACCCACTTTCCTGAAACAACAACAAAAAGGTCATTATGGTGGGGGGGGAGAGAAGATATTTGAATAAAGTCCACAGCTTAGTAAATAGTATTGTGCCAATATTAATTCTTAGTTTTGGTCATTTTACTGCGGTTAGGTAAAATGTTAACAGTAGGGGAAGCTGGTGAAATATATAAGATCACTCTCTGCATTCAGCTTACAGCTCTTCTGTAAACTTAAAATTACTTCAAAATAAAAACAAGTTGAAAAATTGAAGGAAACAAAAAAGGGCCCACTCTATGCCTGCCCCATTTCTCTTTTTCTGAGTCTAGGCGGAAACAACAAAGAGCCCAGTTGAACTCACAGCGACCAGCCTTGTGCTACAAACAGATCAGGTCCTACTGTCGAGGGGGATGGCAGCAATGGCAGTGGGAGATTTTTATACTCAGACACAGGTTGTGCTGTTGCCTCAGGTTCCTGAAAACCACCAGATTTTAAATGAGTGGCGTGATGGGCTAGTCAATGGTGCTTTACAAAGCCTGGTTTTTATTTTTCTTACAGTTTGTTTCTATTCTGGACATCTAAAATTTAATGCGGATGCTCTCGTACCTAGCACATCTTTTAGGATCAATCTACAATTTTAATCTGTTTTATGGCTTTTATAAGCACTGAGGCCTGTGGCAACTCAGGTCGGCTGGAATGAATTTGTTTTCCTTGCACACAGAGACAGGAACTCACCCAGGTTGCTGGTGGAAATGGAAGCTGGTACAAACAGCTGATAGATATCCTTAATAAAAAACTTTAACATGTTGTATATCCTTCAACCTGGGAATTTCAATTCTCAGAATCTACACTAAGAAAACCATCACACAAGTACACAAAGATATCGCTTTGAGGATATTTGCCACAGCGTGATTTTAATAGTAACCTTTCACACCCTAACAAAAAGGGAAACAACTTCAATAAGTGTCTGGCTACGTAGATTAAGGTATGTCTACATAGTGGAATGCTACGCAGCCACTAAAATTATGTCCTAGAAAGCTATTCCAAGTCCTGGGAAGATGACCAAGACAGTCAAGTGGAAAAAGTAGGTTATAGCAGCATGTAGAGTATGATCTCATTTTTTTGTAAAAAAATATATCAGCATAAAAATAAAGGACTAAAAACAAACACGAAAGCAATGGTGACTATCTTTGAGTGAAGGGGGTTATCTCAGAGTGACAGACTGGTTTTAATTTTCTTTCTCTGCATTTTCTAAGTGTTACTACAGTAAGTATGTATTATTTTAATGATGGAACAGTGCTCACTTCTTGAACTGTTATTAGAAGGAGAGTTTCACCAGAGAACTCTGTCTTTATTCACAGACTCTCTTTAATTGGCTCTGTGGGTTCTCTTAACTCTGCAAGATACTCCAAGCATGTTTGGTAGTTAACATCATAAACCTAAAAAATAACATTTATTAACATTTAGCCTATATGGAAAGTTGCTGGTGGGCAAATTAACATTTGTGGTGTTCGCGTTTCATGCCAGCTTTCATAGCCAAAGTAGAGGTTATAGCCAGCGAAGAACTGTTCTAGTAAGAGTTGGAGTGGGTCTCAAATTGTAGAAAAGTGACAGTAAAGGCAGTTGCAGAAAGAAGCAAAATGATATAAACATGGAAGAAAATTAACATTTGTGTCCAAAGGAGCAACATTTGTATTCCTAGGGCTCTTTTTTTAGCTCACAAATAAGAATGCAATATGCCAATAGCAAGAGAGTATTAGGGTGTTTGTCCAGATCGAGTGGCCCTACTACGAGCTGCTAGTAAAGGCTTATATCCGGGAGGGCACTGATTGGGTTTATATAGGGAAGACCAACATGCAACTGGCTCATAGGAAGAAAAGCTTTCATTTGTATCCTTTGCCCTGGTCACTGCTGTGCCAGCTGAGGAGCAGGAAGAGTGGGTGGCGGCAGTCATACTTTGAAGGCCAAGGGACTGAGACAAATCCCAGCACCACTAGAAGCCTTGATACAACCTTGTGGGAAGGGTGGGAGGAGGGTTAATTAGTTGAAGAGGAAAGTCCTAAAAAAGAAGTCCTCAGATCACCGATCAGTACCTACTCTCCTTTCTTTAATTTTCTGGTAAAAGTGGCCTGTTCTTCCTATGTGTCCCTACTATCCCTGTGATCTCCATGAGCTTTTCCTGGCTTCCCCAGCCATCCAACATAAACAGAGTCTAAATAAAAACAGTATGCATGCCATGCTAACACCAATTCAAAACAGGTCCTGTAGCCTTCCTTACCCAATCATGTTGCAGCTCCTGAGCCTCTTCTACAGGGGAATTCTGTAACAATTCAATTGTTATAAGCCCGTGGGTGGGAGTGTGCAGAGAAAACAAATCCCTGATCGGGGTGGGAGTGTGGAGGTGGACACTGATAGATGCATTGCTGCCTCCTCGCCATAACCACTTATCCACCCACTCACCCCCTGGAAATTCACAGAGTGGGTTCAGGCACCAAGTTTGGCATACATCCCACCACCCTATAATGAGGGTGAACCAGCGGCAATTTTTTCACAAGGTTTTCCCTGAATCTCCTTCCAGAGTGATACCAGGCCTTAGCGATCCAAACCCCATTTCATTAGCCCTGAAAACCTATGCTTGGCAGGGCACCCATACCTGCCAGCCCTTCTTCAGGCTTCCAGCTACTGAGCCGGCCTCCGCCCTAGGTTCCCTTGTCTCTTAGCCAGCCTAGAAATTTGCAAGGACTGGGGATTTGCAGATTTTTGTCTTTAAGTCTATAAAGCAATTACTCCTGAGTTTGAGGGTAAAGTTACCAGTTTGTAGAAACAGTTTTATGTCATGGGAATTAGATACCTGAAAGTTTCTCATGTGTTATGCAAAAATTAGGCAAATTAGGACTCTGGGCCAGGACTCTCAGCATCATTGCATCGTGGAAGGGAAAGGGTATCAGTTCTTTGTTGCTTCAGGTTGGTATGTATAGTTGGCATTAAATAAGCCCATATATCTTTGCTTAAATGGGGATTTGCATGGCCATGCAATTTAATTCTGAATGTCAGACATCAGGCCTGTGGTTAATTTCCTCCTGGGATCTGCACAATTTTCTGTCTTGTGGCTTCCCACTTGTAAACCCTTCTGTGGGCTCTAGAGATGAGTGTACTTAAATGAGTGGCACTAAATTAGGAAAGACTTTCAAACATTATAAGTAAATAGGAAACATGAAGACCCACAAGGCCTGAAGGATTAGCTCCTGCCACCCTACCTAGCTCCATATCTGGCCCCTCTCCCACTCTTTGCCCAGGCCGGCCAACTGGCCTTTCTCCCCTTAAACTCACTCTTCTCCCTCCCACCCCAGGATCTGTATGAGCACCACAGATCTCTGCCCATATCCTCTACTCCAGTTCCTCAGTTCTCAGCTCAAATGCTACTTCCTCAGGGAAGCCTTCCCTAACCAGCCCCTCCCACTCTCAGTCAGGTATCTAGGCCTTTTTCTTCACAGTTGTACTCATGCATTTGTATGATAATTTGTCTAGTGTCTGATACCTCTACTAGACCACACTGCCAGAGGGCAGATTCTTGCCCATATCTCTCAGAGCCAACCCCCTACTAGCACAAAGTAGTTGCTCAACTAATGGATTTATAATTCAACATAAGGTCAACTTGAGGATCTGCCTAACTGTAATTTAAGTACTTAATTATCTCTCTTCCTGTGCTCTATCTCAGGGAGAACCAAGAGAGTGTCTTAGCTAATAACCCTGGGAGATGAGCTTCAGGAACACTGTATATAAGGGCATTTTCCACCCAAGCATTCCTCTGCAGAACTGCCTCTCTCCCTCCTCCCCTTCCAGGAGTCTATGCTTACTGCCCTTGGAGCATATTTCCAATCGGGCTTTTCTGCTCGGTAGAGGCTGCCGTATCCCTCAAAGAAGAGTCTTTAATTATATATTTCTGCTTCTATAATTATAATTCTGGGTCCTTGATGTATACATGGTGCCAGAGACACTATGGAGGCTGGCGAGGGG